ACAGGAGGATAAAATGAATCTTCCAGGGTTCTGCAAAACCAATAAAAAGCTTTTACACTGCAGAAAAAAAGCAGTAAAGGAGGAATGATCAGCATAACAGCATTACAGCAGCGGGGATTTGCTTCAGTCTCCGGGCTGCTGTCAGTGCGTGGCCTTTTCCACCGTAACACTGAGAATCGATCTGTCACCTGCAAGATACCCGTGCAAGGCTGCTGACAAACTATCAACACAGGAGACACTCATAAAACTTCATCATACAAGCCAGCAAAAAGATAGAGCCATATTTGATGACATGCTGAGATGACAAATAAGAGCCAGCTGTGATGTCATGTCTCGGACGCTGCAGATTCTGTAGAGAATATGAAATATCTTTAACTTGTATTGTTGCAGTCGTTCAAAGTGTTGCTGTGTAATGCAGAGGCTTAACCTAAGATGTGTGTGTGTTCAAATGAGATGTCCACTTTAGAAGAAACATTAAAGGAACATAAATCAGGAAAAACGCATCACAAACAGCAACAAAAGTGGAGGAATTTTCTTGCCACTGTAACCTTGCTAAATGTTGGTAAGTGCTGTGCTCATGACCAATTAACACTGGGCCTTTGTTATAGAGCAGCGAGTAAGGTCTTTCACCTGCTCTTTTGTAATACTGTATAACAAAGTAAAGTGTCGAGAGAGAAAGGCTTCAGCGTTTCCTTCAAATACGAATTGAAATAGAAGAAGATGATTGAAGAACATATGCTGCTGGACTTGAGAATCAACCTTAAACTGTATAAAAGGTGAACATCGAGGGGCGAGTACCAAGCCCGACAATGGCGGTGGCCATATCGGGAAATGCTGAGTCAACCCTCCTTTTTATCAGTCTAGAAGCAGACCGAGGTGAGCCTTAAGCCTCTTTGCAAACAGCGACATGTGCACACCTGTCAGCCAACTCAGCAACGCCCATAATTATGCAAATGTTTAACTAACCTTAGTCAGAAAAAACAGATGCATAACTCTGTACAGTTTTTTTTTTTTTTTTTTTTTCCAATAAAGAATGAACAATAGAGAACAATTTTTTTTTAAACAGACACTGTAAACATTTATAATTCTGCTGTAAAAATGGGCATTTAAATATGGGACCCAATGGGGAGTCCTTGGCTTTTGTAGCCAGCCTCAAGTGAACACTACAGGAACAGCAGTTTTTTTTTGCACTTCAACACCAGCTTTAATTCTTCAATGCTGGAGGTTGCTGCTCAGACTTAACGTGGGACCTTTGGATTGTTCTTTGCTCAAAAAGGTAACAGATATTTCACACTTTAATTCAGGTAAGTTTCCATTTTGTATAAGATCAATGCTGTTTTTTTTTTTTTTAAACGTAGAAAGCATTCTCGCTTTGTTTTTTTTTTTTGAAAGACAAGAGTGGAGTAAAAGAAAATCTATAGTGACATATTTAGCCCTCAATGGAAAAGAAGCAATGTGAATATACATCAACCCCTATAATTAACCTCCTCCCATGTAATGATTCTTACACACACACACACACACACACACAAGCACCACGCAGTAATCTGTCCACAGCGGCCCCATCAGCCTGGTTCAGACGGCAGCTTGTCTAATTGACTGATTTGATTGGTCTCGTATGTGTCTGCTCACCCAGACAATCTCATTTATCACGACGAGCACAGAAGAGAAAAGTAGGAGGGATGAAGTCAGGTACAGTAAACTAATGCGCCCGTGTGTGTGCACGACCAGCGAGAGTGAGCAGGTAGATTAGAAGAGAGGAAGAAGGAACGCATGGGAGACTAAAGGATGGAGGCTGTGTTATTTAATCTGACAGCGGGAGACGGAAATAAGAAGGGAGATACAGGAGACAAAAGGAGAGAGCTCGGGAGAAAAAGATGGAGGTAAAATCAAAAAGACTTAGGATAAAAAAAAAGGGAGGATGGATCAACGTGTGAGTTAAAAAAATGAAGAAAGAGAAGAAAAATAAAAGGAGAAAGGAATTCAATTAGCTTGTTTGAACGCCAAATGACCGAGCTTGTGTTGTTGGTTGACAGCTGATGAAGAGAGTCGCCACAAGGGCCTCACCCACTCTCTGTCTTTGCCACAGCACACACACACACACACACACACACACACACACACAGAACTACACACACACACACACACACACACAGAACTACACACACACACAGAGACACTTCTTCTTTCCTGGAAACAGCTGCTGACACAAGACGTTGATCTCATCCACTAATATTGCCTTTTGTGTTCTTTCATGTTAACCCCTCTTCTTCTCCCTTTCCTTCTCCTGCATCAGCTCCCACCTGTACTCATCCTCCTTTAACTGTTCGTCCCTCTCCATCTTAGCATTCGTCGTCTTCTTCTTCTTTTCACTTTCTTTTGCCCCCTTCGATCTTCTTTTTTTTGGTTTTGTCAGCCTCCTTCCTTTCTCGCTTCGTCATTTCGCGCCTCACTCCTGCCATTTATCTTCCTCTCGGTCTCCTCCCACGTTCCCTTTCAAAAATCTCGTCCTCCTCCTCCTCATTTTTCAAAATTCCATCTCAGCCAAGTGTTTTTGACAAGACTCCATGTGTCATTTCCACAAATACCTTGCTCAGATACAGCAAGAGCATCCGTGCATTACGTTTAATTGATTTTTCCAGTGACGAGTTATTTCTGTTTAATTTTATAATTCTCAGGATCTCGACTTATTCATCCCTTCATCTTGGGTCAATAACCTGGTTTACACATTATTAATAGCAGCCTTATTCAGACTGATGTTTCAAGCAGCGATATGTACACCCCTGTGACGTTTGACTTCAATCTGAATATCATGGAGGCGTAACAGGGGAATGAAGTGATCCCCCCCTCTGTATCGTCTTCTGATGTAGTAACAGAGGCGTTACAGAGGCAAGGCGGTATCAGCGGAACCAGCGAGTGAGCGCAGCGCAGTGTGTGTGTGTGTGTGTGTGTGTGTGTTTGTCTGACTGTGTGTGTATGCGGAGCTCCCGCTGTGCCGCGCTCTCTCAACGCCGAACAAATATGAATGCTCAAAGACGTCAAGACGGATGAGCTTAGTTGTGGTGCTGTTACAAAAAGCAGTCTGAAAAGGTCTTAGGATGAATCGCTGAGATACCAAAGCTTGTATTTAATTAATAAACGGGATAATTATCTGGTGATCTAAAAAAAAAAAAACATCAGGCTGGTCAATGCGATAGGCCAGACGACATGCCATGCTGCCCACACTCATGAGGAAAGTTAAGCATATTAGTTAGCAGTTTGTTTTGTACTTTGCAACTCTAGGGATACACTATAAACAAGTCAAGATCTCGAGAATACAACAAAAATCACTCGTTATAACTGGAAAACAGAGAAAATAGAATGTATTGATTTATGTCCACTTAGGGCTTCCGTACTAATCCGTTAAAGTTCCTAGCTCAGAGTTTGGCTGGGTTTTTGTTGTTGTTGTTGTTGTTGTTGTTGTTGTTTTGTTACCGGCATGAAAAAACTAATCAAAAAGCAAAGGTAGCATTTCTTGTCAGGACATTCAAACAGCTCATGAACGATGAAATGCTTCAGTGGTGTTTCTTAAAGAACTATGAAAGCGACCATTGCAGGTGAAGTTTAGGACATTCTTCTACCAGAGAACCGGACAGCTGATGGTTTTGTGCCTTTCTTCATCTGAACATCCATTTTTTTTTCTTTGGTTATTTGAAGTGTCGTCATCTCTATGCATTGATATTTTGTGCGTTTGTTTCAGGAGAGTAACACCTCAGCTGAGAGCAGAGAAAACAGGACAGCACTTCCACCTACTCCCAGAAAGGACTTGATATTCTGTTTGTAATTCTTAATTAGTGATGACTGAAATGGAAAGTTGTGACTTTCTGTGACTTTTTGAATCGTGAATGGGGCAGAGCAACCAATTCACAAAACTATTTGAAATTAAAAAGTAAATGGAATTGATTATTCCTGGCTTACGTGACTTTCTTATCGAAAATGATCCCTGGTGGGTTTTGTCTGTTTCCTTTTTGGCAATAGTCACTTTCTCTCTCCCCTCCTCTCTCTCTCTCTGTTTTTGTGTCCTTGTCTTTGAAATAACTTCACACACTTCTCCTTTCTTGATTTTCTGTCTCTCTCCATCTTTGGCTTTTCCCACTTTCTTACAAAATACACATTTTTAAACACACACACCTGTGTGAGGGGAAACCCCAGGTCTCTTCCACCATCTGTAACTGCTAAGCAATGCTGCAGTGTGCTAAGTTAGCATGTGCACACACACATACATACACACACACACACACACATACACACAATCACACAATCACACAAAGAGATAAATTAGAGACTGTTGCAAACAAAAAATGAAAAAAAAAGGAACTAAGAGCAGACAATAGTAACATCATCTGTAGGCATTTGGCATACGCTGTGTCATTTCTCACACACAGACCCACACACACACATACAACACACACACACACACACACACACACACACACACTAAAACACTCCCTTCTCTGCTGACATTTCCCATGGACACACAACTCTTTGCATAAATGTATATATGAGCAGAAACGTAATCACAAAGCCGGCACACACAGCAAACACACAGAACATGGACACAGGGTGTGTGTGATCAATAGCTATTGATCTACCACCTTCAGCTTGTCTTGGCAGCGCCCCATGTTGGACATTAAAATGTCCACACCCGCCAGGATAGAGACATACTGCACGCGCGCACACACACACACACACACACACACAATCACAGACCTGAGCACACACACACACACACACACACACACACACACACACACACACACACACACAGATGATTTGAATTTGATGTCAGTCTATGAATGTTTTTAAACCACAGAATATTATGAACCAGATCAGTGAAGTTAAACTAATTCATAAGAGCATTTAAAACACACATATACACACTCACAGACACACACACACACACACACACACACACACACACACACACACACACACACACACACACACGTCCACCCCCTCACCTCTGTAGCACATAGTAAGCCACAGCAGCTCCAGCACCTGACCCCCGAACTCACACACGTCCAATCCCAGCATGGTGCCTCTCTGCGGGGCTGTGCTCAGTGCGACGGCTGGCAGGAGAAAAACCAGAGAACCGGGTGGTGGTGGGGGGGAGGAGGGGGGGACCTCCACAGGTAGCAACAAAGTATCAGAGCAGGAAAAAAAATCCACAAAAGAAAGTCTTAGATTAGAAACAGAAAGGGGGACTCAGACAAGCATGTCCTCCTTACAAAAAAAATGTTTTGTTTGAAGGGGTTGAAGGGGAAGAGGAGAAAACGTGGTGGCGTAAGAGAGAAAAATAGGGAGGGTATCCTTTGGTGTAGGTGTGGGTGTGATGGGGATGTGTGTGAGCGAGAAACAGAGAGAGAGAGAGAGAGAGAGAGAGAGAGAGAGAGGAGGAAGACAGGGAGGGAGGGAGGGTGAGGAAGCAGCAGCAGACACTATTAGCAGCCTCTCTTTTCTTCTTCTATTTCCACAGCAGAAGAAGCCAAAATGCTAAGTGTCAGCAGGAGATGCTAAAAGCTAAAGCTGGCCGTCAGACGCTGGTTCAGCAGGCAGAGCTGCCTGAAGCCGCATGTGTGTGTGTGTGTGTGTGTGTGTGTGTGTGTGTGTGTGTGTCAGACGCTGGCTATCGATTCACAGCGGACCCCTCCCCTCCTACATCCCTCCCTCCTCTCCTCTCCTCCTCGTGTCATCATCCCAGAGACTGCAATGAGCTCATCCTTTACCCCCCCCCTCTCTCTCTCTCCCTCTTCTCCCTCCCTCATTTACTCCTCCTCCTCCTCCTCCTCACCTCCTCCTCCTCCTTTTGCCCCTCTTTTTCTACAACTCATTCCTTCTCACGCTACCCCTCCTCAACTCTTTCCTTTTCTTTAATTTTCCTCTTAATTTTTCAACACTTTTCCTGAATTCTCGCTCGGCGTCCACTCTCTCCCTCCACCTATTCATCACTGTGTCACGCCATTTCTCTCTCTCTCTCTCTCGCCCTCTGTCTCTATTTATCTCCCTTTCCGCCCTCCCTCCCTCCTCTTCTTCTTCGTCTTCTTCTTCTCTATCTCCCTGACCACACCCTGTCAGGAGTGCTGCTTCAATCATGACAGTTAGTTTCATCTTTTTTTTTTTTTCATTCAATCATCTCCTCCATCATCTTGAATTTTTCCTCGCCCTCCTTTTTTTTTTTCTTTTTTTGCTTCCCTCTCCTCTTCACTGACAGAAAAACACAAAGGAGGATACTTCTCACTTGACAATCAGACACACTCCCTTCCACACACGTCTGCACGCACACACCTTGTTCACATGTCGGTTGTGCGGCTGTCATATCGCATGTTATGAGACAACCTCTGTTTTCTGTCTCTCACCCTCTAAAACCTCCTATATTTTTCACAAACATACTGCATGCAATTGAATTGAATCTCTAAATAGTCCGTATAAACATGAATTGAACACCCAAAGCGTAAACGACACCTGAACAAGAATCTTTGGCGAACCTGATGTGACCTGCGCAACAACAAGACAATCCAGACTCGATCTTTAAAGCACAGACACTACAAAAAAAAAGAACTGGAAAAAAAAAACAGCTCATGTAAGCTTCCAAAAGAACAAACCTTCTGGTTCTCTGATTAAAATAACCGCCAAAACTCTTAAGCCTCACTTTCAAAAACATCTTACAATGGTTCACAAATGTAAAACTATCCATTTTCTATGACTAGCCCCACATATCACCCCTGTCAGTGTCTGCAGAGGGTCTTTTTCTCTGTCTATCCTGAAGCAAGCTGTGCTATAAACCCATTATATCATACTGCTTTATGGAAATATAAATCAGCAGTAGCGGTGGTCCCTGGTGGAATGAGTGGCGTCTATAAAATGTGTGCTTGAACAAGGTAGTGGGGAATGGTGTCATAAAGGGTGTCTGAGCGTGAGAGCCCCCCCCCACCCCAGGGTTCAGCCATGCAGAGCCACATATTTCTATTCAAACAGGATAAACCTGACAAAATGCTCAGCAGGCAACGGCTAACTTCCTGCTGTGCCGAGTTTTATTTTCATAACATGGAGTCAGACCGCAGAACTGAGTCAGTGCATCACCTCTCTATTTAGCGCTAACTCAGAGTAGCTCTCACATGAGTTGTCTACTGTTGCTGCATATTGTATCCTGATTGGCTGAAAGGCGCAAAGGTTAAAGGTGAAGGGAAACTGTCTGTACACGCTCCACGCCGCTGCTGACTCGTTTCTTCTTAAAACTGCTTCCAACCGTTAATAAACTATTGTTAAAAATATTGATTTGGGGACAGTAACATGGCTCGCTGGCTCTCTAATCTTTCAAATGTTTGCACTACATGTCAACCATTCATAGATATTTGCAGTTGAATCTCGCCAGCATCCTTTTACCTTTCTGGCTCATAACTTCAAAGCGTACATTTTATTGCATTAGGACAGTCTATCAATTTGTTTTTAGATATTTCAGTCTGTCAAAAACACTTTAAAATACAATTAGCATTTTTCAACGCGGATGCATTTTGCTCATGAAAGGATATTTTGCATTCTGATGGAGGCAATGCTGAGTCATCTGACACATTTAAGTGTGAACAGGTCTTTAAAAACTCATTATGGCTTAATTTAGTTTCATTCTTGCTGGTTCATGGTTAAATCTTACGACACAGTTTGAAGAGACCACAGCCATGGGTAATGTGTTTAGCAATCTTTCTTGCTATGAAAGGTGAATACATGAGCTTCAAGTTTACAGAATTGTACTTCAATGTGTGAATTAAATGAGGGGAAACTGTAAACGTGTAAATACACACACATTAGTGTACTTTAAAGCTGCTGCTTTGTGAGTATTTCTAGCTTTAAACACAGCTAGGTTTAACCCCCTTTTCTCAGTCTTTATGATAGTCCAAGCTGCCTTTGCGATCTACAAAAGTGACCAAAATTGCCAACAAACCACACTCAAGCTTCAGTGTTTTTACTGTTATTAAAGAAATGTAGCACACCATAATGATAAGTGAGCAGAGATAGTCTACTAGCTGTTCTATGCTAGCCAAAAGTTAATACAAATAACAAATTATATCATGGCGGTATGGATTTCCAATGTAAAGTGATCTTGGTTTTACATCATGAAAACTGACATGAAATGAAAACAGTAGGTCGACTGATATGGTTTTCTAACTGCACACATCGCTCACATGGAAGTCTGTATCAGGATGCGATACCTCTTTCCATTTGGAAACACTCGGCGGCTACATCAGTTCCACCTCAGACCAGTTAGTCAGGTGTGTGGACTTACATCAAGACCTGTGCCAGTTTATATACTGGAAACTGCACTCCCAAGTTGCCTATGAGCGAAAAACTCTTCATGTATTAGATCTGTTTTGTTAACTTTGCTTATTAAATAATTATATTAAGATGCTTTATTGATTTTGTATGTTTGTAATACTTCTAGTGTTACCTTTTTTTTTTTTTTTGCTGTGGTTTCCATTTGCAGGGTTCTTCCATGGCCCCTCTTCATGTGTTTTGTATTCTTGTATTAATGACATACACAATAAAACATACCAAACTGAATAACTATAGGTGAAACATATACTCATACATCGATGCAACTGTATACAAGTACTGTTCTAATCATTAGCTTTAACTCAAACATGGACATCACATCATTTTTAGTTGACTAGTTATGAAGGTTGCATGCCTGCAGCAGCCCAATAAGCCAGTGCTTAATTGCTTTTACTGACACCCAGTGGACGCTGAGAGAAGTGCTATAAGAGCTATGAAGGTGCATCTCTATGCTTCTTTTGTATTTTTGATGGCTTAAAAAAAAGCTTTTGAAATACTTAACCAGCTTCACTGATAAAAAGCAATACAAGTTGAAAAGTTGTGTTCAGGTGTACCAACAAAGTGACTCATAAATCAAATAACAATCAGTAAATTTCAACTTTATTCACAAAAGCCGTATCCAGTGGTTACAAAATGGAGCATTGTCTATATTTTTACACTGAGATCTGTACAACAGAACGAAGAGCGCAAAGTCGACAAAAAAATGAAAGCGTGAAACCAATGATGACAAAACAAACATATTAGGTAGAGAAATGAGTTTAAATAACAGATTTATAAATCAGACTGTTCTGTGGGATATTAAAGGAAAATACTGATTATGTGGTAAAGAACGGTTCACATTCAAATAGAGCTTCATAAAGGACAGATGTGGTCCTTTACAAAGGGAATTTTTTCAGTAGTTAGTCAGAGTGCAAACATTATGTAGCAGAGAACAGGAAGTTAGTACCTTTGAGTAGTCCATGTGTTTATTGACAGCTGAATAAATATATTAGATCAGTAAGTAAAAGAAAGAAGGGAGCATCTGTATATTCATATCTCTACTCAGCTGAATGAGAGAAACAGGGGGCCATAAACTCTCCACTCATCACACTATACTTGTGAGAATGTCTTGAATTATGCAACATGTGAAACCTTATCTTTGCCTGGATGCGTTTAAAGTCTAAACCACACACTTAAATTAAAACAAGCATTCAACATCAACAATAAATAACAGCTTTCATTCAGTGCAAAACTACACAACTGTGGAATAATAATAATAATAATAATCATCATCATTTCCAAAACAGACCTTAAATAGTACAACATGAAGTCTCACTCGTAATCAATTAAAACCATCAAAATATGTCTCATGAGTTCAATCGTAAAACAAGCAGAGCGTGTGAATGATTGAAAACGGACTCAATGTGTTAACTGGTTTATAACCATAACGTTACCTCAAAAGGGAAGTAACATTTACCAGCTCACATGATGCTGAGGGGACAGAACAGAAGGAACTGACAGAGCTGCACCAGCGGACAAAATGGAGTATCTTATCTGGTCAGCTGGAAAGGTTGACTGGACTTAAATTTCACTTGTTTCAAACACAGTCTTTTCAATCTTTCCTGTCCATTATATAACCTTTGCAAAAACCCACAGGTTGATCTCTTCAGACACAATTAACAGAGCAAATTTGTGCTTTAGGTGTCATTATGTTTGTAAACAAGATCAGTTTGATATTTGAAATGTGTCAGTTTTTTTTTTTGTGTTTCCATGGTGACCATTTTGGTATAGACAAAAAAAAAAAAAAGAATAACAACAGGGACATTGTAGACCTTTCTCGTGTCCTTTAAGGCTGCATAGCTGGTGGATAACCGCTTATGGAGGCATACGGTGGTCAAAGTTCACAGGTTTATTCATGTGTGTGTTCTATGTCTGGGCCAGCTGAAGTTCCTCCAGACCGTGTTTGCCCAGGTGATATCTTGCCAAGTCTTTCCTGGATACCAGTCCAACCACCTGCAGATGTAAGATTGGAACAAATGTTGTCATCATTGATATTGAAAGCAAAAAAAAACAAAAAAAAAAAAACAAAGTAAGAAAGAGAAACGCTCTTACCCCGTTTGAGTCATTCACCACCACCAGGTGTCGGAGTCCCAGCGCTCTGAACAGCTTAAAAACACGAGGCAGGGATGTTTCCTGCAAAAATAAAAGAAGCCTTGTGTAAATTTAAAGCTACAGGGACTTTCATTTTGTCAACATAGCGTCAATGAAACATTTTCAGATCTGTAGTGCAGTATGTCTACATGTTTGTTACCTGTGGAACGGTGTAAGGTGTTGCATTCATGAACTCTGTGAGGTCCATCATGCACTCCCTCTCATCCTGGGAGACGTGGATGCTCTGAATCGGGGGGAAGCGGGGATATGCGTCTCTGAAGTCCTTCAGCTGGAGCTTCCTCGTGGTCAGCCGGGTCCTGGCCAACTCCACAAACACCTGACGTGACAGAGCGCGGGAGAACGATGACAAAGTCCGTCTAAACGGTCGCAGTAACGATGGAACTTTTTCTTGTTTGCTGATGTTACCTTGTGCTTGAGGAGGACGATGAGCTGTGAGCGGAGGATGAGACCGCAGAGCTTCGGCGGCTGAATGGCGGAAAAGATCAATAACAGGTGTGTTGAATGAAATCAAAGTATTTCCATTGGCATTGAAGCTCAAATTCATTATTTTAAATCTGCACCGTTATCAAAGACTTCTCCTAATTGTTGGTATAAAAAAATACACCTTAACTGGTGTCTCATTTGTCTCTAATTTGTTGTTCTGTAGAATGACCGCATATGAACTCCCAATTTCAGGCAATAAGAAAAATTTGATTTCAAAGTTTTTTTCTAATAGAGGCATTTTAAACAGGAATAAACCAGGTATTAACACATTTATTTTTGTCCTTGTGCAAGGTAAAGGCTCGGTCAAGGGTACCTCATCACCAGCAGTAACCTCCACGACGACAGGGAAGCCATTGTGATTGGTCGATGTGTTGCTCAGAATGTCCACGATGGTTCCCACCTTCTCTAACCGGTTCAGACAGGTGACCGGAGAACTCATCACTTCTCTGGACGAGCATCAAGGAGAGAGAAAACGATAGTGAGAAAATGACAGGCACAGTGTAAATGTTTATAATCGTAGTTCACTTTAATTCCTTCATATTAAATTAAGTTTTAAGACAAAGGGAAAGTTTTTGTTTTGAATCTACAAACAGAGAGGATGTTACCTGGCTGTCAGCCAGTGGGAGGTGGCAGGAGCGTCCCAGTGCAGGAAGGGCACACTCTGCAGCTTGATGTGGATATCGTACAGACCCTGAGGCAGGAAGACACAGTTACAGGCAAGACACGTGTGTCCCAGTGCTAACTGTACACAGCAGGCAATATATCTTATCTTTGTGCTGCACTGTTTGTAGAATAATTGTTCAAGAAATCACCATTTTGTTCAAAGAGGGAATTATCCTTTATGTGTGCAAAATAGACGTGAGTGGAATGGGATACCTCTTGACAGTCATTTCATCAGCTATAAGTAGCTCATTCAGTTCTTCTCTGAATTCTTTATGAAGAGTTGGATGTGTACTTTAAAGGCACATTCATTCATACTCATTTGCACTATTTTGTGTAAATGTGTCGATATAGTTCTCAAATTCAGTGATAAAGCACATTTCCAAACAGCACGGTGTGTATTTCTTTACTCACCTCTACAAAGTAGTCTCCTACTATCTTGGCAGTCATGAGGACGAGCATGATGGGAAGACCGTACGTGACGTTCCCTGTCGCCTCCACCATGATGACGGTCAAACTGAGAGTCATCCTCACAATGCCACCTGTGGAGCGGGCAGGGCATTATGTGGTAAATTCTCATTTCTTACAGAGTATCAAACAAAAATAGTCATCTATAAAATCAGGGTTTTATCAAGAAGGTGTGAGGAAAACACTGGAGAAATCATTTCAAAGGATTCACAGCTGATTATTGTTTTTAAATGTGATTTTTTTTTGTACAAAACACTCACAAGGTAAGGAAAGACGTGACTCACCTAACTGAGCTGCGGCTCCAATCAGGGCATATTTACCAGGGACAGCCCAAATCTAACAAAAGACACACACAACAAAGTTAAACTAGAAATCAAAGCATGGGCAATGTTGGTTCAGTTGAAGACAAAATAGGTAAGACATATTACTGCCTCAATTGGATTACCTTCCTTTCACTTTTTGACTGTTAATACTGAAACATTCAGATAGCTTGAATACAGTTTCTGTACTTTGTAAAGCATTACTGATCTAGGCAAGTGACGCAGTGACAATCCTTATATTCACCCAAGCTGACGACTGGGAGTTGCCCTTTAAAGCTTTTTTTAAAATGTAATTTTTGCAAGTTTGCATATTTGAAAATTCACAGCAACTTGTTGCATGTATGCTTATATTGTGACAATGATTCATGATCTCAGTCATTTGATTTGGCTGGTATAATCATCTGTATCACAGGGCAATCAGCAGAAATGTTACACAACATTTGAAGAGCAAGAATGGATGTTGTTTTTCTGGACAAACTACGTTAGATGAACTGGACAAAACTCCATATTAGGGGTTTATTTCAAACGTGGGAGCAGAAAGATTTCCCCTTAAGCTCATTACGTTGCCAGTGGAGGTGAAGGAAGCCAGCAGTATCCCAAACAGTCTTCCCCAGGCGGCTCCTATCAGCAGAGAGGGGATGAAGACTCCAGCAGACACCGCCAGGCCGTACGTCCAACACGCCAGGAAGAAATAAGTCAGAGTGAACAAACCCAGGGTCAAAGGATTGTAGGTTCCTTTATGAAGGAGAAGAACAGGAAGGTATAAAAGAAGGAGCACGGTAATGTTCCCTATTCTCTGTACAGTAAACAAAGAGAGAAACAAACGTCTGTTGCACATGATGATTGTACATTAATATGTTTGCTAGCTTTTTCTTACCTGGCTGGTTGTGGAAGAGACTTCGAACACTTCTCTCGGGAGTGTTGAAGAAGGCCGTTGCCATGGAGTTATACTCTCCATCTGCACAGAAGAGCTAAGAGAGAAAATGTCATAACTATATGAATAAGAGACAAAGAGCCTCCTCTTCTATTAGTCTATGTGTCCGCTTTAAATCGAACAAGCTGTTAACCTGCTGACATACAATCCTGAAAAGGAAGAAACATGCAGACAGCGAGATGATACGATGTATGTGGTATAAAAATGTATAAAACACAAAACAAACACACATAAGGACAAAGTTCTTAACCATTAAAACGGAGGGTTTTATTCTGAAAATAAACTGGATGTTTTAATGTCGTTTCGGTGTCTTATTTCTTTTCCCACTCGATCTTTTCTGCGGTAACTTGATGTGCCGTGATCCGGCAAAAATAGAAGCCTTGCGTATCAGCTACGGAGGGCTCTGGACTGACGCAGCGCAGCGGAGCCAGTGGAAGCACACACATTGAATAAAGTGAAAACTTATCAGCAGATCAGCCGAGACGGGCACGAACATGCATCTGGTGGAATTGCCCATGAGACTTGAGCCTGCAAATAAATACAGAGACTACAGGGCTGCAGCCGAGCAGCTTCAAGTGGCAACTGTCACGTTTCATTTTGCAAAACGTCCTGTGCTCAAACGTCTTTTTTTCTGTGAAAGGAGTCAAATCCTGGAACTCGCTACCTGATTACTTTAAGCTTACTGGGAACTTCACCACTTTTAAGAGAGCCACCAAATCCTTATTTCTTTGGAACTGTTATAATCTTTTATTTACACAAAAGCCCTTCTAGGGACCGGTGCTGCCAATTACCACCCGCTATAAACACCATTATGTTTGTTTATGTATTTTGTATCAGTCCCCATCAACTAAACCATTAACAAAAGTATTAATGTGTGTGTGTGTGTGTGTGTGTGTGTGTGTGTGTGTGTGTACCTGCAGTGGATACTCCTCCGTGTGATCTGGTCCCAGAGGCTGACAGTCATCAGAGAAGTAGATCATGGTGAAAGACACTGTCGCTGTAACTGCAGCAACCAACATGGCCTCCATCACTTGCAAGCAAGGACGGTGAACATAACTGTACACACACACACACACACACACACACACACACACACACACACACACACACACACACACACACACACACACACACACACACACACACACACACACACACACACACACACACACACACACACACACACACACACACACACACACACACACACACACACACACACACACACACACACACACACACACACACACACACACACACACACACACACACACACACACACACACACACACACACACACACACACACACACACACACACACACACACACACACACACACACACACACACAGCATTAGTAATGTTAGTGTTATGGACTCTCCCATGTAATGAGGAAACTCTTGGTTCAATATAAAAAAAGACAACAATAAAAAAGAAGGCCGTGCCAACTCGGCCATTTTGTGCCTCAGGGTGAAGTCGCTCTGTAAATGTCAAGTGGAGTCAAACTAGTGTTATAAAATGTGAAGCAAAAACCCATTGTGTGAGAGGATAAAGGAATATTTTCAGAAGCAGGACTGCCATGACATGTTCTAAATACTAAACACCAAGCGAGGAGTATTTAAGCACAGATACGCTTATCAAGGTTATACAAACATGCTATACATAGCTTTCAATGAATGTTTTTTTTTATGGTTCAGTAATTGTTTGGCTGTGCAAAGGTAAGATGTAATGTATAATGCCTCTTTAAGAATACTAGACGACACCTTGTCATGCTGTCGGTTTATTTAGCAACGAGGCCGAACACAAAAATACAAAAGAAACCGTTGCTCTGATTTCTTCGAGTATGTGCTGATGAGTCAAATGAGGATTCAGGAAGTCTGAAGGCTTAATAGCGTGATGATTACTCTGTGCCAAAGGAATGTTTGTTTGTGTTCAGCTTGAACATGAGCATCAGTTTTTAAAATGAACGCAGCGAGCCTCCTCGGCTGTTAGTGTTGATATGTCTTTTATTGACTTCACAGTTGACCGTTAGCCCCCAGCTAACAACACATTGCTGCTGTTGATGTTGTAACAAAGGCTGTGATGTCACCATGTTACGGACCTCAGTAGTTATTTCCCTACTTTTGAAAAAAAAAAAAAAAAAAAAGGTGTAGAGGTGTTTTTACACATGCATCAAACTCCTGTAATTTTTCGGTGTGAGCTGCATGTGTGAATGCAAACGACCAGATTTTTTTTCACCCTAACTTTATCTGGATTTTTTCCTGTAAGCCCCTAATGAAAGCGGTTGTGCGGAACGCAACAAGAAACATTCAGGAAAATTCTCAGCCAGCGATGACGTTTATATCAAGCAACTGGTAAAATGTCAATGTATGTTACCCAGTATGTCCTTTTCTACAACTCTGTTTTTGCACATTTACATTTAATCTTTCATATTTAAGACTAGTAATGCTTAGTTAAATCCTGGTTGTATATATCCACATTCTTAGTTTTGATATTTTTAGTACTTATTTACTTTGTAGTTAATATTATATTGTGTTTAAATTTGCTAACATTGTGTTATTTGCTCATATTGTGTGTTTGGACAACCTGTTGCTGTAACGCCACAATTTCCCAGTTTGGGATCAATAAAGTAATTCTATTATATTCTATTCTATATTCTATTGTGTCTAAATACATCCAGTCACATGTACCACTCATAGAAAGGGGGGAAAAAACATAATTTTTCTGTTTAACTGTCAGTTGTGAGCCACCTTTGATTTGTTTTTTGTCCTGTCTTACCTCCTGAGACCCCCCCACCCCTCCACCCCTCCACCGGGAAAACTTCATGCAGGTAATGACATATGTATAATGTGTCAATAAGCAACTGGAGAAGATTTCAGGGGCAAACTGTCAGGAGTACCTGTGTGAAAACTCCTCATTACAAGGAAGCAGGGACCAGCAGGTGTACGACCAGAAGTCTCCCAGTGATCAAACCTGATCTGATATATTTAAACAATGTTATCTCAATATGCCAACATTCTGAGAGATAGATTTAAGAGCTCATGTGAAAATGTCCTCATCTTACGCCGCGCCCTGTTTTTGACAGACAACAACAAAGCCTTCATGTTGTTTTTCTTGGCACACGGCACACACAAAGCATTTCTTCATACGCCACCTGACTTTTTGTTGAAGCCCTCTCCCAACTTACCGGATCCTGAAGATGGTCAGCCAGTAGTTGAGAACGTTGAACAGAGCTCCCAGTAATCCCCCTGAGAAGGAGAGGAAAACAAAAAGGTTGATTATCTTTTAATATTACAACCACAGGACCGTAATCGAATAGATAAACACCACATCTATACAAGAGGCACATCCAGCCTGTGAGGAATAAATTACAAATAATAATGATTGTTTTACCTATAGCACCCATAGCGATGAACAAGGGAATCTCATAGAGATAGTAGGCCACAGTCTGAAAAACCACAAAGTGACATCAGGTCAACTTTGACACGGACTCTCAAACAGCAGAGCAGGAAAAGTACTTCATATTCAGTCTTTCTTCAAATAAAGAACAGGGCGCTGCTGAAAGATTTACCTCATGATCTCTCTCAAATCTAGAAGATACCTTACTTGAGTCAGGCCTTTATTTTGTATCCTCTATATTTCATCACTGTGATTGTTTTGTTTTTTAAATACTTATTTTGGGGATTTTTTTCTAGCGATAGGACAGTGGATAGAGTTGGGAATCAGAGAGAGAGAGAGTGGGGAATGACATGAAAGGAGCCACAGGTGGAATTCTAACCTTGTAGGACTACAGCCTCCGTACATGGGGCGTGCACACTAACCACTGCGCCACCAGCGCCCCCATACAAGGTCATTTTTGATCAGTAACATTTTGCTGAGGCAATTTAACTAACCAACATTTCTTGTAGTCAGTTTGATCTAAATGGCTTCTTACAAAACATTTACTTTACTACAAGTGCAGTTTGGCATGATGCCTGAAAGGAGAAATTAAAATGACTAATACAATAGAAATGTAGCGTTATTTGATGACCCTTAACTTTCAGCTTGTATTTGGGATCACTATAATTAATGGGTAGCAGCTTCTATTTGACCATTGGCTCTTATTTGAGGAGATTTGGTACGTGTAAAAAGTTTCCTACATCGGTCTCAAAGCGTCCAAAATTGATCAGACCGGGGTTTGAAAGGTCTCCTGGGTTGTTGTGGTAGATACTGAGGAAGAAGTTCAGGGTGAACGTGGAGATCATGGAGGCAAAAAACTGCAGAGGAGAGACGTGGGGGGGGGGGGGGGGGTGGACAGAAGACATTATTTACCATCTTTTTCCAACCACCTTACATAAACACTGCACAATATTTATGAGTTTATAATCAGGGCACACATAAGAAAGACTTACTATCCTCCACGTCAGCATCTGGTTCCAGAAAGATGCTCCCTCCTCCAGAGAAAACAGAACGCCACCTTTTAATCAAAGAGATTAAAAGAAAAAACTCACTCAACAAGCACCGGCAGCGGTTTATATGATGGGCTGATTTCAGGTGAGCTCAGTCATCGCACAACTTTATTACTCAAATGAATATCTGAGGCTGCAACTTCATTGAAAGAAAAAGCTTTGATATATATTTTTTTTAAACTTTGTATGAACCTGCAGATACATTTATCTGTTGATTAAAAAAAAAACCCGAGGTGCCAGTTTTCACATAGTTCTAACATTCTTGTGTCATCCATCATCAGAATGAATCTGCCAAGGTGCGGGACGGGTGCACAGCCAGTCCTATAACAACAAGCATTAGAACAAGTGCCTTAGAGGGAGTTTCCTCACAGCTGCTCTTTGTCTTCGGTTTGGGCGTGCGGCTATACTCCTGCACTGTTGCTCAACTGAGGCTAAACTGCTCACACAAATTAAGACAGATTAAAAACAAAGATCACGATTAGACTGGGCTGTGTGAGGACGGCTGCATTTCTTTACCGACTGGTGCTCCGAACGCAGCTGAAACTCCGGCGGCGGCTCCAGCAGACACAAAGTCCCGTTTTTCTGTGTCTCTCCGGAAATATTCAAAGATCTACGAACACAAGCATGTCTAATTAATCATAAACAATTATTCATAATGAAGTGCATGCACTCTCAAAAAAGCATTTTGAAAATATCCAGTGTTGTGTGCTTGTAAAAATATAATAAACATTTAAAGGAAAAAATTGTTGTATTAAAATAAGATGTTTTCTGGCATTTGACATACTAGAACTACAACCCGACCGATAATGATGTTTATGTCTCCCCAATATCCATATCGGTCGGGCCCAAAACATGCACCCACACAGGCCTGTAAGTCACTTCCCACACTCACCTTGAAGTCTCTCTTTAAAGAGGTGCTCCTGCCTTGAGAGATTCCTGCGGCAACCACGGCACCAGAGTGGATCATGGGACCTTCCTAAAGTAATTGTGGGTAAACGAGAGGACAGGTGTGACAAGGAGTTCCTGACAGTTTTGCATTCAACATTGAATTTAAAGTATTTAAAAAACTTGTTCAGGCACAAAGTATCAGAATGGTGTCTGTAAAAAAAAACAATCAGAACTGTAACTGTTTTGAATCTGCATTAGGGGTGATTTACCTTTCCAACTGCAAGACCACCAACCACTGAGCAGATAACACCGCACACTTTCACTAACAGTGTCTGCAAGGACAAACACACAACACGTTACAGATTTTAAAGTCCAAGAGAGTGTGTGTGTGTGTGTGTGTGTGTTCTAGCAGCCTTTACCTTGAGTCGTACCACCCGGGGAATCTTGACTCCATTCAGGTAACATTTTATTTGAGGAATACCACTTCCTGCTGCTATGGGCTTGAAGGAGTGTGAAGAAAAAACAAGAGTTTAAAGGAAGGAAGATGGAAAATCTAGAGAAATACAATGTTTGTGATTTCAGGACAGATGTCTGAGGATGTGAGAATAGTGATTTTAACATATTGATAATGAGACTACACTCTGTGATTCTGACATGAAATAGTGTTGACAGCTGACACTAGTGGAATCTGACTGATTGTACCATCAGTCAGATTCAGGAGGCTATCTAATGCCTCCTTTTAAAAATGCACAAACCAAACCAAAGCAAGCTGTGGCTAACCAGTCTGGCAGAAAAACAGAAACAGAACCAACAAAAGTTCAATATTTCACCATTGTGGAGTCGACTGGTGCAGATATTCTATTGCCCAATCAGCTCACACTTTACTCACATTTGAGGAAACACAAAAAGAGGAAGACAATTAAATAGGGATACATTACTTCTCCTTCATTCTCACCTCAAAAAATGCTACTATGATTGCGCCCACCATGACGATGGCAGAGTTGAGGACGGCCCAGAGAATGAGGGAGATGGAGAGGCCACCGACTTCGGTGAAATTCTCTATGTCTGTGAGGAGTCGGAGGTCAAGGAAAGACTTCTTAGCACAGGGCGGATTGAGGCACGACGTGGCCACGCGGCTGAGGCTCCAGCTACAAAATGTTCGTCGCACTCGTAGTCAACAAAAAAGAAGCGTTTAGAAGATAGTAAGCCAAATGGAGGAATCAGCCTCAATAACGGATACGACTAGCGGACGATATACTGTAGGTTAAATAGCTCCAACAGTCCAAAGCGTAAAGCCAGGCAGGTTCAAAGAGAAATGACTTTCAGGAATTAACATAAATATTAAATGATTAAAATAACTACATCTAGGCCAGATTTTTTTAAATACTATGGCTGTCAGCATCGTGTTACCTGAGGTCAAAAGTTATTACGTGTGTCATGTTCCCCCTGTTGACACCATTGCTTAGAAACAGTACTGACCACGGCGTCTCGCTGCAGCTACAGTGACAGAAAAGAATGACACATCTACCGCAGGAAGCTCAGATGATGATTCAAAAGAAGTCTCCACTCTGTGACATCAAACATTTCACCTTTTACGAGAGCCCGACCGATTAATTTGCCAGCTGATAATATCGGCCGATATTAGCATATCCAGTGACTATCAGTATCGGCTTATTTTTTTTAAACGCAGATATGCGCCGATCTGTGTCCCTTGTTGATCACTTCAAAATGAAATACAAGGGGAAAGCAAAATTATCATTATTTGTGTCTTCACATAGAAAACCGTAGACATCCGTGATTAGCATGTTGCTGACACAGCGCTTCAGGATACTCTTTTTGACCACTTGGTATTTGATTCCAGCCAGTTCCTCCACAGCGATGTCGATGAAGCAGGCGATGAGGCCAGTGAAGAAACCAATTAGACCACAGACGACCCAGCGACTGATCTCGAGACAGCGGAAACCCTAAAAATAAAAAAAAGAGGAAAGACGGGAAGAGAAGAGGCACAGGAGAAGTAGGACATGAAATAAATGTGTAGACACTGAAATATTATGACTGTATCAAAACGACAAACTTACCATGTAACTCATTCTCCTCTCCTCCTCCAGAAAAAGCTGGTTCTCAATGTTATCATAGTCCAGACTCTGTAAGAACACAGTAAATACGATCAATCAGTTAAAAAAAAAGAGAAAGGAGATGATGAGGAGGATAAATGTAGCGTTCAAATCTTCAATCTTTCTTGATAAACAGAATGTGTGTGAGTGTGTGTGTGTGTGTGTGTGTGTGTAAACAATTATCAAACACTGATGCTCCAAACGCATCGTTTCCAGTCATATCGTGTTGTGTAGTAACGTAGCATATTGTAGCGTCTCCTATCGTGGGACACCCTGCAAGCTTCACCCTCAGGCGGTTGGGTACATGCCTTTTTGGGTGAATGCCAACACATTTCACAGATTTCTTTTTAAATACAAAGCAGATTTTATGGAATGTTGCAAGTTTCCACCTCGTTTGAGCAGATTACTGTATTATTTGTTGCCCAAGAAATGCTGTTTGGACTCTTTGGCCTATATTGCATTTTCTCTACCTTTGTTTTTATGACTTATTTCTTTGTTTTGAAGTATCAAATACAACACACACATATAAAGGCTTTAAACAGCAATAACGTCGTCATGTCAAATCAGGGTTTTTCCCTTTTAATAATCAGAACTGTGTTTTCTTTCATACCTCAAATTTTAGCGACAGCAGCTTCTCGTTATGAGCGATCTCTTTAGGCCGCCCTCTTAAAGACTCCTGCAGAGGTAAACAAAAGAAAGAAAGAACAGAGGTCACAACACCCACACTGATAAACCAACACCATGACTTTTTAATCATGAGAGGAACTAAAGTCACTGAAATCAGAGGAAGCTAAGTGTTTGGATGAAACAGCAGTGATCAAAGCTGCAACATTTCAAACGACATGAAGAAGACATTTATGACTCAAGAAGAACTGAAGAGGAAAAGTTTCATAGATTTGTTTTACGTAGATAATGAAGAATTAATCTGAGGTGGATGGAAGATGCAGTGACGAGTGAAACACTGATGTGAAGAGGTGACATGCATAAGAGTCAATTACATGCAATTCTAAAGTTAATTTTTTTGATGCATTGCGAAATGCGTAGCTGTCACACAGCTGCGTGATCACACAATCAGCAGCAAATCAAGCAACTAACATGCAAAAGACTACAGACCATAAAACAATCATGCAAATCACATGCAGGGCATCACATTTCCATCAGTCAAAGAAGAACCGCTAGTAGCTAGCTATAGTCATTTGCTAGTTGTAAACTGAAACAAATCTTCAGACTGTCCTCTACAAACTACACAGCCAGGTTTATTTTATTCATTCTAAACTGAGCCAATGGTGCATCAAAATATTTGACTGTTAACACCTTAACACACCAATTAGTCAGAAAAGACATGTTGACGTAAAACATAAAAAATAAAAAATAAATAGGTGAAAACAATAATTAAGTGTCAGGTTGGGTTTGGTGTCTTAAATTTAAGAGTTGTATCTGTAATCTAAGCTATATAATATATACTACCTCTGTGACCTCGTTTGTGTTTTTGTTGTTGTTCTCTGTCTGTTTTTATTTATTTATATATTTTTTCTCTTTTTTTAATTTTTAATTTTATTTTATTATTATTATTTTTTTGTCGGATTTTGCAAATGTCTGAACAAAAAGAAAAAAATGTTAATGCATACTGTAAGCTGTCTTTAAAGTTGAACTTAAATAAAAAAAACTTTAAATGAGAAAAAAAAAAAGAGTTGTATCTGTAATCTTACAATTCTCAGAATGTAGACTTGATAACTTAATGTATGAGACTAGTTTGGAATAAACTTCTAACATGTAGAAGCTGTAATCATTATCTAGTTTTCCCATCAGTCCCCACAGTGTGTCATCCATCAGTTTCTGACCACAAACACTGAATGGTTGAGCTGTCAAGGCCATGAGCACATTATCAGTTGAATTTTTTTTTTTTTTTAAACACGTGCCTTTTATTCACTGGATGAGTCAGCTGTCTCTGTGCCATCAGCAGCTCTTTTCAACACCAGACTTGAACTTAAATGAAATGAAATAAAGTCTGAGAGCTCAACTTATCTCAGGCTCTACAGTATCTCACTCTCCCTGTGCACACATGAGGCTGAGGCTGACTCACATTAAGTCCACTCAACATGTTGCCTGATACTGCCAAGTTTTTAAGTCTCAAACTCATCCCTTTTCATTGATTTAATTAGAAAGATTGGGTTTTATTTACATTGCGTCAGGAGTCTAAAAGATATGTCTCTTGAGGTCTTGATGGAGTGATGAGCGACAGAAACGACAGACACAGAGAGAGAGAGAAAAGCGATTGGTGTCAATTTGAGCTCGGGCTTTACCTCCTCTGATGTCATCTCCTCCTCCAAATCCACCGTGCTGAGTCTGCCTATTTGAAATATATTTCCTCCTCCAGACAGCTACAGACACCACAGACAGTAACAGAAATATATACATATGTATACTGCTATTTGTAGCAATTTGTAGGCTTGTGTTTTTTAGGGATGTATGTAGAGACTCAAGCGGTATAAGAAACCACATCGCATGTAGAATAAAATGTGAAATGGTTGCAAAACTCTTCTGCTAAGTAACCTACTAATCTTTTTGTCATACTGTTATTTAATTCAATGTGGCTTGAGTTAAAGCAAAGGCAGATGTTTCAAAATGTTAACTTAGAATAACTGAAGAACATTCACAAAACAAAGAGCAACTTTTGGTCCTGATGGAAGGAAGTAGATACTGTTGTCTCAAGGAAACAGGAAGCTGCATTTTCCATTAAGAGAGGGCAACTACCCTGACTTATTATTAAATTATTAGACCTAGACTGACTTAAAATAATTCCTAAACCATGAAATACATTTAAATCGCACAGTAGCAGACTCAAAGTAGGCAACCTGTAGCACCTTTATGACCTGCTTTTAAATGATGAAATGTTATTCCTATTTATAGTCTGTCACTTTAAGAAATAATTAATATCATAATTTTTAGTCTTTACATGTGTGATGTGAACCTTTAAGCTGTTAGAAAAGTGTAATGTTTTCCTGCAGACTGCCTTTTATAATTAAATACAGCAAGACAGATGGACAAGCGTCACAAAAGTCTCTTCTGGTCTTTATAACGAAGAATTCTGAAGTGCATCATGCAAGCAATCGCACAAACCCACTAATGCAATTACTTTCAAGCAGTTTACTTTCAGTCTCAATCAAAAGCTTGTTGTCCCATCTGATAAGAAGCCCATCCGCAAAAACAAACCAAACACAAGAAATCAAACGCGAAAATAAACATTTTAAAGGTGGCAATGCATTCAAACTCGTTCAAAATGTACATAACCCATGCATCTTTACCTTAAAACGGTTTATAAAACATGACAAAAGCATCTTAAATGATGCTGTAGGGGTCTTTGGCTAACTTTAGCCCGACATGCTAACAGTACCTGTCTGGAGAGTGGCCGCTGCTCGGCGCCGTTAAGCAGCGGTGTCGCCTCCCCGGTTGCCCCGGACTCGTCGGCCCGACTGGACCACGACACTTTCTTTGTAATGTTGGCCATGCTGGCCGCCGGTAGCTCTTCCAGAATGTCCCTACTTTATTTCATAAAGTGTAGTTGTTTCGCTAGCTAACTTCTGTTATTCTTTCTCAGCTCCCCATGATCGACCCCGCAACTCGTGACGTTTCGGATGGGTCGCGTGCAGGGCCAAAACACTGTATGCGCGATGCATCCTGGGATTTGTAGTTAAATTATTTTTTCGACTAAAACTCTTGACTGATGATGAAGTAAATGAATAAAAAAGTAAATCTTAAATCTTAAATCTTAAATCTTAATCTCAATCTCAATCTTAATCTGAAATCTTAATCTGAATGATGGAAAGTTGAAAGTCTGTTTCTGTTGTTAATTAGGCCCCGAGCACCGACCTCGGCGCGAGGAACCATATTGAAACCGAAGGAGTTATGATTCTCCCTCGCCACAATGAATCGCTTATTTGGGGGCTTTAACATGCATGAAAACTCCTCAAAAGTCACCCAAAATTCAGCCTCCCGTGAAATGTACATATTAGAGTGGTTCGGCACGTGGCCGTCGCCGAATGGCTCCAGAGTGCCCCCAAACGTCACTCAGGGTACTGCGATTAATCTACATGAACGAAAATTGGTGAGCCATGAAGCTCAATGAGACGGGAAAAAAATTACATTATTATCGTAGTCTTAAATGTAGGCCTACAGGAAGTGCGCTAGGTGCAGTCAAAGTACATTTTTTGCGGTATTTCAGATTTCACAGCATCCCTATTTGAAAGCACTTGTCATGCAAGATACAAGGCCCGCCTGACTTCATACGGTTGAAGTTTTTTTTAGTCACATGGCCACCTGTTGACAACAGGAAGTCACTACTTCTAAATTAGCACCAGCCATTCCGACACAGTTGCTCATTTCTCCCTGAATATTCCTGTGGATCATCCTAAGACCTTGAACATACTACGTTTCCAAGCTCAAAGGCCTGTTTCAAACGGTGTTGGCGTATGCCCCTGCACATGAGTGGACCAGAACAGCATATGCCACTCATGTGCCACGGCATATGCCACTCATATGTGACATATACTGCGGCACATGAGTGGGCCAGACCGGCATATGCCACTCATATGCGACATATGCTGCGGCACGTGCATGGACCAGACCGGCATATGCCACTCATGTGCGGTGGCATATGCCACTCATATGCAACATATGCTGCGGCACGTGCATGGACCAGACCGGCATATGCCACTCATATGCGGCATATGCCGCGGAACATGAGTGGACCAGAACGGCATATGCCACTCATATACGGCATATGCTGCGGCAGGTGCATAGACCAGACCGGCATATGCCATTCATGTGCCGTGGCACATGCCACTCATATACCATGGCACCTGCCACTCATATGCGGCATATGTTGCGGTACATGAGTGGACCAGAACGGCATATGCCACTCATATGCGGCATATGCCATGGCACATGAGTGGACCAGAACGGCATATGCCACTCGTGCGATATATGCCACGGCACATGCGTGGACCAGACTGGCATATGCCATTCATATGTGACATATACTGCGGCACATGAGTGGGCCAGACCGGCATATGCCACTCATATGCGACATATGCTGCGGCACGTGCATGGACCAGACCGGCATATGCCACTCATGTGCGGTGGCATATGCCACTCATATGCAACATATGCTGCGGCACGTGCATGGACCAGACCGGCATATGCCACTCATATGCGGCATATGCCGCGGAACATGAGTGGACCAGAACGGCATATGCCACTCATATACGGCATATGCTGCGGCAGGTGCATAGACCAGACCGGCATATGCCATTCATGTGCCGTGGCACATGCCACTCATATACCATGGCACCTGCCACTCATATGCGGCATATGTTGCGGTACATGAGTGGACCAGAACGGCATATGCCACTCATATGCGGCATATGCCATGGCACATGAGTGGACCAGAACGGCATATGCCACTCGTGCGATATATGCCACGGCACATGCGTGGACCAGACTGGCATATGCCATTCATATGCTTCGGCACATGCCACTCATATGCGGCATGCAGATGACACGGCATGTGTCAATCTGACATAGCACATGTGTGCCATCAGTGCCACTCATTTATGAGTGTACCAGACACAGAGGCAAAATATGTTACTACACTGCTGTGTCTCTGCACTCTGTGCATCTAGCAGCTCAGTCATCCTTTTTAAAAACTGAAAATCATACTTGATGATAATTGCACGATATTGCACGCGTGTTTATATAAAACTCTAGGTCTTAATGATTATGATGACAGAGAGATGCTTCTTTTAAGAGTTGCAACACGCTTTATTGTTGGAAATGGGATCATGTGGTTTTTATTTTTTTGTACAGAGCACTCTGCCTAAGACAATACATGTACTGTTAGAGTTGCAACATTCTAATTTAGTAATTCTGTTTTATGTTGTCCAGACTTTCCAAAAAATAACCTGGATATGCCAAAAAGAGATTTGAGATGGCATTATGAACATGAGAACAGACTGTACATACAGGATATAAAAAAAAAAGGAATAACAACAATATATTCTTATCCTGTCAATACAGGCACAGAAGAGACATTAAGTATTCCCTGCAGTTATTGTGTTTTGGAAAACCTAGATTTAATTCTTCCTCTGTATCTTATTCACACACAATGCTCTAAACATTCACATGACACTTGCTGCACTTCTCCATGAAGCTCCTTTATGTCCTCCATGCCAAGGACCACCCCTCTGGGCACACCTCTGCCTTCTGCCACACCCTCCACCTCTGCAGGACTCAACACACGTTTCCACACCCTAAACCCAGCCATCTGCCCAGCAAAACCCTCAGCAGCATCAAACCCACCAGCAACAATGTCCTGCTCCTGCCCCAGCACCAATGATCCACCTCCAGGAACCTCCCAGCCCTTCCTAAAGTTGGAGCCTGAGGAGATGAGGTGTTGGTCACTGTAATGCCAGAAACGACCCTGGATGGAGGACCAGAGGATGCAGAGGTGGTGCCAACGAGCATCCAGCAGCGACCACACAGGGAGACGGCGATAAACAGGGTCTCCGATGACAAAGTCCAGGGAGGAAGAAGAAGAGGAGGGGGAGGAAGAAGGTGAGGATGGAAGAAGAGAAGAAGAGAAAGATGCAGATGAGGAAGAAGCGCCGTGTCCATACAAGACTAGCTGGTTGTCGTTATCATCTGTGGCATAAGAGAGCAGCGTGCCGATATGCTGGGCCTCCACACGGAGCCACAAACAGACAGAGAGTTCATGGAGGTCTGGGAGTGTCAAGGAAAAGGTGACGTAGTTCTCTGCTGAGGCCATGGGAAAGAACAGCATGGAGTCCACGTTACAGACTGCAGACAGAATGAAGAGAGGATCTGTTCAGTCAATTAAAACCCTCATGCTTAAAAAAAACACTGTATCATATTAATTTTGGAAATATTAGAATTAATTTTAAACACCTTAAACTTGCTTACAGAATAGTTCTAACCCGTAAAGCCCCTCTAGCATATATAAGTATGTTACAATTTTTTAAAATTATACAATAAATCACACAGCAGGCCAGATATTCGCATAAAAAAATTAATTAAAAAAAAAGGTATCAACAATGTGTTTCACAGAGGTTATGTTACTGTATGGGTTAAATTAACAGAAGTGACACTTGGCACACAGAGCCAACAGCACCTGTCACCTGTAATTATGCATAACTCTAGACTTTTATATAATCTAAATGGGGGATTTTTAATCTATATTTATACAATTCTAGTTAGGTAATCATGACAAAGGAGATTAGCAACCTCTCTTATGGGGATTGACCATATACTGTATATTAAGATGGACAGACTAACAGCTGAGTAAACAGATGGGACATGGGGAAAACTAGAAAGTTTAAATACACGTCAAATAATGTTTGCTCAAACTGGGATTCTCTAGTAGTTTTGTGACAGCTCTGTTGTCAAATGCAGCTATTGCAGTGTTCTCAACCAACTGGTTTCAAGAGGAAAAGAGGAACAGCAAGAGAAAACATAACGAAAAGTAACACCAAGGCGTTGAACTTCTGATAAATGTGGCTGCTCTAAACCAATAAAGGAATAAGTCCTCGTGTGGAAAGTATCGACCTGAGGGATGTTTTGTTGGGGAAATGTCTGATCATGCTGCTTAACTGCTTGTAATTGCTACAATACAAACACAGTGACAAAGAAAAGTATTGAACTATCAAGCAGTTGCACAGAGGTACAAGCATTACTTACTGGTTGCATCCTTTTTTGGAACTGGTTGTGCAGGGATCTTTTGCCTGACAGGAAGCTGACGCAGGCTGTGGATCACTGAAGACTCTACTTTTGTGTCATTTTCTTGCTCCCCTCCTCCATACCTCTCATTGGCAGGTTTAGAACGAGTTTCAGTCTGGGACAAAGGATGGGACCTAGAGTGATGTCTGTGGGGTTTAAAATGAGACTGGGATCTTTGCTGTTTTCTTGGCTTGGTCTTGGCTCGGACTTGGATCTGCGATTGGGGGTTGTAAGGTACTTGCAGATATGATTCTGGCTGAGGTCTTGACTTCTGGGCCTTTGGATATTTAGGCTGATTTGGTGTTCCCTGGTGCTGATCGGGCTGTTGAGGCTCTCTGTTCTCAGCTGTGGCCTTGGAATGATTTTCAGTCCGCGGGTTGGTGACACTTTCGGGTCTTGATTGGGTTTGTCCATCCAGAATCCTTTCAGGTCCCCCTCCTCTATAAATCAGGCTCCTGCTGCGTGGCTCGTAGTACTTCTGAAATTCTCCGGTTTTAATCTGCAGGACCTCCCCAAGCCGACCCTCCAGCCGAGTCACACGTAGCACCTGGTTTTTGAGAGATTCCTGCAATCCTCTCAGCCCAATGAGGAGCTCGTCCCGTTGAGCCTGGAGGGCAGCCAGCCTTTCTTCTTGGCTCTGGAGCTCCAACGTGAGGTTGGAGAAATCCTGACCAGGATCAACCTTCTGTTTGTGGGCAAAGCGACGGCTCTCTCTCAGATTCCGATCCATCAAAGCAACACGACCCTCCAGTCGCTTACTCTTCCTCTCTAGCTTCCTACTCCACTCTCTGGGATGATAATACACATGGGAACACATAAGCTTTTTTCACACATACAATAAAAGGACTTTA